ATAATAATAATAATTAAAAAAATGAAATAAAAAAAAGAAATTAAAAAATCAAAGAACTGAATGGACATGAAGGAAGAAATTACTTATCAGGACATAATGTGTTTGTTTGGAAGGTAGGTACTTATTTGAAGAGATTAGGGTTAGTAATTTATGGCTGATCTTATACAGAAGCAGTGATTTTCTTAAAATGTAATTATTTCAAGGACTGGGCATTAGGAAACTAAATGAAATTTCAATATTTACTATGATATTTCCAGGTTTTATTACTCCATATATGTATATCAAAATCAGAAGACTTAAAACTATTTTCTCACTTACTTGCATATGAAGCGTAAAGATCAGAGGCACAGCTTTGGAACAATTGTTTTTGTTTTTCTGTTTTTTATATCTATTTTTCCCCACCAGAAAATAAAAATCCAATACAAAATAAGATATCCTTGGCTTCTTTATCCAAGCTCTGACTTACCCGGTATTTTGTTGATGGATTCTTGTGAGGACCCAAGCAAACACCACAGCAGTAGGAGCTCCTGGATAAATCAACATGGAACACAATATAACTGTTTTGAAATCTGTGTCCCACGGAAAATTTATTCCAAGAAGGTTCACAGTGCAACAGATTGGATGTACATTAAAGGTCAAACAATGGGTCAGACAATTTTAAATAAGTTTGTGAAAGAACTTAACTTGCAGTTCAGAAAAAGAAAATAAGAAGCAAAAAAAGGCAGGAGAATGAAATCAAAACAAAGAATAGGGGATGCTGCATTTTAAAAAATAACTGCTAAGAATTATGTGAAGGTTTGGGTATGAATTATGAGCACTTGTGAAGCTGGAAGAATCACTTCTTTAGGTAGAGCTCTTTTTTACTTGTGAATTGTGTCCAGCATACAGCTCTTTCTTTCTACACTAGCTGGAAGAGTTCTCACTTTTGTCCCAAGGAGCCTCTGCTAATCACTCTACACCCAGCAGCTGAGCATTCCATGAAAATTTATCTAAATCCAGGAATTTAGAATTTCTAACCTCACTTTATCATTGCTTATCCTTCTACTTTTATGACTGAATAGTTATTTCCTTTGTTGTTTTGTTTGTTTTGCTTTGTTTTGTTTTGTTTTTCAAGCAGGCCTATAAACTAGCAATTGTTTTTGCTCTCCTTCTGTGGAATTGAATTTCCAAAGACTAAATGACTTTCAAAGCTACCACAAAAGGGACTTCAAGCAGAAGCAGGTGACATTTTCACTGGTAGATCTATAGAAATATAGATAATAACTTTCTAAGTATCATTTGAGATCTGTAGGAAAGGCCCAGAAGTTGTCCTTCCTAATTTTATACCTTTGTTCAAGGCCTTTAAGCTGGGAACATATTCAGTTCAAATTGTCTTTTTAATTAATGAAGAGAAATATTTACATCCATATCACCTAAGATCTGAGTTGCCCCTGAGATGTTTCTCACTTTCCATTGATTATAGAAGGAGATTAGGATTGCTACACTATTAATTGAAGTGTTTCCTTTGTTATCTCAAGTTAGCTGTGATTAATCAAGGTCTAAGCATCTAGTTTCCAGCAATCGTAATTTCAATATCTCCAACATCCCCTTTATAAAATTCAGAGTTTTAAAATTTAATTACATTTAAAAAGTATGAGAACCTAAACATGAAGTATAAATTACTATTTACTTCAGGAGAATTTGGATTTCACTCCTAAGCCAAAAATGTCACTGTAACCACTCAATTTGGGTGCCTCTATTTTAGAATAGCCAAGGTGAGGTACAAGAATATCTGAGAGTGACAATAAACAGTTCTTTGCAGTGAAAAAAAATAATTACATATTACGTGCACATATTCTGATGATCAGAGATAATTTTAATTGCTGAATAAACTCAAAAGATTCCTTAAAGACAGAAGGTCTCTGGGGAAAAAAAAAAAAAAAAAATAATTGTTTGATTCCTAGACTTGAACTCACATGATTTAAAATTATTCTATCTAATTCTGCTTACTAAAAGCAAAATGTCAACTTAAAGTTAGTCACCTAAACTTCTTCAGTCAGTGGAGGAAGACAACAGCTTCCAGGATGTTATCCAGCTACATGACTCATCTTCTTGAAGACTGGATTAATCACCATCATGGCATGTATACCTCACTCTACTGACTGCAGGAGAAACTTGGATGGATAGATAGCTTAGATTAGGTGGCTAACTTTTAAATTACTGTAGTTGCACGAAATTGCTTCCAATCATAAAGACGAGTGCTGCAGTCTTTCAAGTAGACTTATCATAGTGCTTGTAGTAACCCATCCTGTCCTCTTCTTCAAAGTTTTGAACGGTATAAATATCTAACAAGATAAGAAGATAGACAGTATAATGGTATGGTTTTGATGCAGGAGCACTGGATGAATGGGCAACCTTCACCAGAAAGGTGGCACCTTTGATAGGCAAATTTATCTCAGAACAAATATTTTATCTAGTTCTAAAAGTAAGTGGAAATACCAAATAACAGAGGAAAAGAGTACTAACCCCAACCAGTAGATATGAACCACCATACATACTGCTTGTCTGAAACAAAGGTTAGCAAAAGTAGTGTTTGCAGGTATATCCCTTCTATAAGAAGCCAGAAGAAATTGGCTAAAATACTGAACTGGAAGAATGCCACAGCAGCCTTACAAGAAACCTGGAAATGCATAGGAAGAAAAAAAATATTAGGCCTACTCTCCATTGTATCTGGTTTCTCTACAAGTATAAGCAAAATTAGCATGCAAGAATGAGGAAATTAATACAAAATTTCAGTAGGTTTGGGATTCCATCATTTCAGTTGACTTCAGTTTTTTGAAAGGGAAATATTTGCTTTCTCTTACAGATGAAATTCTTTACTGATAGAAATTAATACAGCTTCATTAGAGTCAACAGACCTGTACCTTATATACCAGAGCTGAATGTAGCCCACAGCACTTGGCCTTTGGGTTTGTGTAGTATTGTTTGTTTAAAGATTTCAGTTCTAGGAAACTAAAGAGAAATGGGATTAAGAAATCTCCATGATCTTTTCAGGTCAAGAATTAAGCGTTAAATCAAGGATAAGAGAGAGGGCAAGTTCAGTACCGTTGACATTAGGCAGTGGTCCATAGTTTCATCTGCAAACAAAATGGCATCTTTGGTGAAAACAGCAACTGCTCTCAGGATAAAGGAGACAAACAGGTGCATATGGATGTAATTCCGTGTACAGTGGAATTTTCTGTCATGGAAAGAGAAAATAAAAATTGTTCTTCAAGAGAAATTTCTCATGGTCTCATCAGAACTCACATGGGAATACAAGGTGATTGTGAACACTTTCCAAAGCAAATAAATGATCTGTCACTATATGAGAGGGAGCTAGTCACAAGGAAGCAGAGCAGTTATTATCCGTTTAAGCTAATAAAAGTGTTAGTATAATCACTACGCATTTAAAGGAGATGCCAGAAGCAGAGAGTAACTCTGGGACTCTTGGGCTGCATTGCAATAATGCCTTTTAATTATTCTAAACAGCATTTTTTGTTGAACAAGCTTGCAAACAGGCTTTTCAGCCCCTTTCTGGCCAGAGGAGAACAGAATATTGAGTGAGTGTCAGTTGTGTGCCGTGGGATGGCTGCCAGAGAAGTAGCTGCCTTACCTTAGACTGCATTTCCCTTGTTAGTCCTGCCCTGGTTTGACCTTGAACTGAAGGAACCTCCTTCAAGGTCTGGACATGTCAGCCTCTTGGTCCTGAGTCCCTCTATAATTGATTTGACCTTTGAGACTGCCAATCCACTCCAATTAGGAAATTGCTTTTGTGCTCTGCACTCCTGTCTGCAGAGTAAGTTTAAGGCTTTTGGAACTAATAAAAACCAGGATCCATTTCCTAATATCCAACATCATCAAACATTATATTTAAATTTCTTTAAATCTCTTTCTATAGCTCCCAATTATGGAAGCAATGGTCTGTCACAGAGGGATTGGACAGCTTAGAATGACTACAGGTCCAGGGCACAAGACACTCAGTTTCTGCAGAGCATGTCCTGTTATGCACTGGAGAAATAGTTATTTTATATTAATAGGGATAACAGGCTGGAGCATTCTCAATGTATGGTAAGATTTAAGAGACTAAGACAAACTGCCCAGCCAATTTTATTTTTCAAAATCTGCAGGGAAATGACACAATATGAATAGAGAAAGACCCATTGCCATCAACATTGTAATATCTGAGAAGAGTTTGAAAATAATAGTAAAAAAACCCCACAAAACAAAAACACAGAGGGTTTGAGAGGAATTAGGATGAGGCTATCTTGACACATCCTGAAAAGAGACCAATTTTTTGTTTACCTGAAGGCAGCAAAGACAATTAGAGCTGTAATGAGTGAAGTCACTGATGCTGCATAGCCAGCAGTGTAGACACGCCAAAATGCAGAATAATATGATTTCTATGAGAAAAAGAGAACACAGACCAATGCTGGTGGTTATGCAGCATGCATGCTGGTGCACTTATTTTTACTAAGATACATTTACCCTTAGTAGTCAGTCCCATCACCTAGATCTGCTTTACATGCTTAAGATCTGGTTCAGGTTTTTCCCTCCATTGCTAACACACTTTTTTTTTTCTTTTGAATCCTACATAACCTTCCATATAAGACAGGTTCCACAGCCTACAGGCTCATATGAAATAGTGACCCCCTTGAGCATGCTCAACAGGAAAATGCTATTTTTGTTAAGTACTTACATTTTCTCCTACAGATACGTAAAGGCTCTTGGACACTAAAGCTTGCTGATGGGTGGGTGATTTGTGAATCCGTCACTTTAGACTGGGGCCAGATTCTACTCTGTTTAGCTCAAAGGACATTTCCCACTGATTTGATAAATGTTAACCTCCATAAACTGCTGTAGTTAAAAGAGAGATAAAACTTGCATTTTGTAGATGAGGAAACTGAAACACTGGGAAACAGTCACATCACACTGTGGAAGTATGAAAGCTAAAGTTAAGAAAATAACCTCACAGTCTTTAAGTCTTTGGACAAACGGTTCATCCACTAGCTGCGTACTGTAACATTATAAATTGTTTATAGTTTGTTTGTTTGTTTGTTTTGCATTGAAATATCCTATGTCCCAAGAAAAATGAAGCATATTTACATCACTTTAGCTATGCAAATTTCATTCTGATTCTCTACAAGATCACCTAATTATTCAAAATCCCAAGAAATTAAATTGTCTGAATCCAAGCAAATTTCCTCCTTGCAAATGCAATGGACACTTTGTTCTCTAATTGATCCAAACTCTGTTTATCCAAAAGGCAGCATTTCTAGGTTGAGACAACCGATTAGCAATTTTAAGTAGATCCATAAATAAATCATGCAACCTTGACAACCTAGGGATCATCCCGGTGTTTCTGAAACAGTCCTAATCTTTTATACAGTGTTTTCAACACATAGGTGAAAATTAGAAAATAGGTTCTTCAGCTGAACAATGAAGTATTTCAATGCGTTTTATCTGTTGTCGTAGGGTAGCTAAAAAACCACCACCATGTGCAGAAGACATCATAAGTCCTCACTGCAGATATAAAATACAAAACAAGTGGTTCTCTAAGAATATCAGTGGGATTCTTCTTACTTACGTCCCTATGTTTACAATGCAGTAGAGCTTACTGATCTTATCTCCCTTTTATAGACCTTGTGGGTTTAACTGGAATAACAAACTAAACACAGCTGCAGCACAGACATGAGCTCTGCCCTGAAATCTTCCATAATGTTAAAATGTAAATATAATCCCTTGCTTGATTTCAACCTAGGCCAGCTACAAACTATGCCTGGCTTAGCACAAGCCAGGGAACTGCCTGGAGAGAGCCACCCTGTAGAGTAAAAGAGTTTTGCTCCATGGGTGAGAGCCATGCTGGCCCCAGGGCTGGAGAACAGTGCTCCAGAATTCATGCCACCTTATAAGTCTTACATCCCTTCTGAACTGTTGGCATAGTTTCCAACATCTTTACAGAAGTTTTTTAAGCATTTATCTTTCTAGCTTCGCCACAGTGTAAAGAAATACAAATATTCTTAGTTTACAGATGGGGAATTGAGCTCCTGATATCTATACTGCCTGTTACAGCTGTGCTTGAGTTTCCAATTGGAAAACTGAAGCCAATTGTGTCTACACTTCCTAAAGATTCAGAGACCTGAACTATTACTTCTGTGCTTGAGTTTGCATGCCTGGAGGACCAAATGGTTTACTCCAGATAACACCCAGAGTGTTAGTGATGACAACCCTCTTCATCTTTCTGTGTCTGGCTTTGGCCTGTGACAAATGACCTTTTTCCACTGTTGAGTTATGACAGCACAGTCACAACAATTTATATGAGTTAGTCTTTTCTTTCATAGATCGGAGGGAGTCTATTGCTTCTATCAAAATACCACAATAGGATGAGGAGGCAGTGATGTACCTTGCATTTGTGCAAGATGCATGAGCCTTGTCCAATACAGATTGGAGATGAGAGGATCAATACATGCCTATTCTCTCTTGCTGGTAGTGTCCCATTTAGCAAAGGTCAGAACTCAATGGCAGAGGCAGCGAACATGTCTGTTAAACTTCATCCATGAGGCAACGTTCACCACTGAGGTACTAACACCACCAATGCAGTGTGAGGCATTCCTACCCTGGGGCCAGCTACAACCATGAGGAATATGGAAATGTAAATCATATGAAGATGTGGGTGAAAAAGAAATGTTGCAGGAGTCTAATTGAGCACCTAATAATGCTCTTCAGCTAGGAAAAATAGAGGTTAATTTCCTAGTCCACTGAACACCCACGATAAAGTGTGAAAATACTCAATGGCATTCAAGAGTTTTCTCCTAGAGATCTGCATTGACCATCACGCTATGAAGTTATGGAAGCCTTTTCTTTTACTCAAAGAAAATCATAGAATCATAGAATCATAGAATCACAGAATGGTTTGAGTTGGAAGGGACCTTAAAGCCCATCTAGTTCCAACCCCCCCTGCCATGGGCAGGGACCCCCTCCACTAGACCCGGGCGGCCAAATAGACCAGGTCGCCCAAAGCCCCATCCAACCTGGCCTTGAACACTGCCAGGGATGGGGCATCTAGAACTTCTCTGGGCAACCTGTGCCAGGGCCTCAACACCCTCACAGGGAAGAATTTCTTCCTAATATCTTATCTAAATCTACCATCCTTCAGCTTAAGGTTATTACCCCTTGTCCTATCACTAGAAAATCTGGAAAAACAAGAAACAGGAGGTATCCAAAGGAATTATCCCTGAAAAAATCCCCACATACAGGTTGATAGGGCTCCCCTGGGAGATGAGAGCATGGTGTGGATTCAAATCATCTCTGTCAGAGAACTAAAGTCTTTGTTAGGCAGGACAAGTGAACTAATCACAAGTCTACTCATTAACACTAAGAGTAGACAACTGGGTGGAGAGGAAAAGTGCTACACACTACTCCCTTGCTTTATATTAAACCTACTTTGTTAAACAGGCTCTAAATATACCTAAAAGGTTTGAACATAGCACTGAAGATGGGTAATTTCTGGGTTCTGACAAGGCTCAAATGTGTGGGACCATCCAACTACTCAGCAGACTCAGAAAAGGGTGCTCTGGAAATGTCCACAAGCAGGAAATAAAAACTCACCTGATCCTCAGGCCCTTTACTGGAACCTTCATCAAATCCACAGGCAACAGTGTATGGTGGGAATGGTTCTGACCAATATGCCTCCTGTGTACAGTTTCTCTGAAGGAAGCCTTTAATGGTAAAATGCATCAGACAGTGAATCATAGGGAAGGGTGTTTTGACAAGAAACAACAATTTTTTCTTCTTACTTTGATTCTTATCTTAGGCACTTACAGGTCTAGTCGAGTTCAGCAAATTAGCTATAGAGTTATAATATTCTATATATCTACCATTTGAAAAGTTGAGACTTTAAGTCCCAATTAATTTTAAGTTGCAGTGGAACTTCTACGTTTCCTATAGGAAATTAATTCTGTACATTCACTCTTTAGACAAAGGAAATAAAATTATGCAATCTATCCTGCATTTACAACATAATCAGTGCTTGTGGACAATGCCCTGAGGCACCTGATCTAGCCTTGAAGTTAGATACAAGTTTTGAACTTGGTCCTACTCTGACTGAAGGATTGGAATAGATGACCTGAAGAGGTCTTTTCTAACTTTAATTATAAATATAAATATAATTATAAATCAGTGATACTATGACATACCTGTACTCCTTTATAACATCAGCAACATAGTACAATTACCCATGATTTTTAGACTACCAAAGACACTAGACAATTCAGCACAGCATAACACAAAACAAAAGAGTGCCAAACATTCACCATAATCCAAGATGTGTATCTGGATAACTATTGTATCTTGACTGACATAAGATAGCATTGTGAATCAGGAAAATATGCAAGATACTGAATCTTTACTTATTAGAATTTATTTTAAAAATATGTAGGGATAAAAAGAATAGGAAAAAAGTTTTACCATGAATATTGGTGATTTCTTCAAAAAATCTTGGACAAGGAACTTTAACCACTTCCCCAAAAGTGGCTCTGGGCCAGCAGGTTAGACCGTCCCAATCTCTGGCACATCCTGAAAAAAAAGTGCCTCTAAATACAGAAACACACATCACAAACTTGATCTTCCATAATTAGATTGTCTGTGGCTTTTCCACTAATTCACATGCAAGAAGAGACACAACAGGACATGCAGCTCTGCAAATGAAGGGTTGTATTGTTTTCCTCTTCTCCTTGAATGCATTGTCACTCAGATATGCGCTAGACCTCCCCCCACCTTATCGCATGAGAGAATGTACCTGAAATTCAAGCAGACACAATCTGAAAGTCAAATCAACTGGAGCTCTTTCTTGTTGTCAAAACAAAAGTCACCACAATCAAAACATCGAATAATTATTATCACTTGAGATTTCTCATTACTGGTTTCAGAGTCTAACTGAAAAACATCAGACATAAAAATTCATCCTTAGTCTCTTGATTCCAGGCTTAAAGATGACTAATTTCACCTGACTTAAAGGAAATAAGGGCTGAAGTCCTGATCTCAGGCAATCAATGGAATTTTTACAATGGACTTTAACAGGGATTAGATTCATCCCAAACTAGAAGAACATCTCCCATCGTCATATAAAATAACCATCATCAGGAGTACTTCTGACTGGTTGGCATTCACGAGGTTCCCTAAACCAGAGGTTGCTAGCTGATGATGCAGGGCATGCTACTAGCTGTGAGTCCAATAAAAAGGGTTTTCGAAGTTATAGTTAATCAGAGCTTTGTCACGAATGCATCACATTGAGACTCAAGCTGTGGTCACGCAGCATCTGTTGGCAAGTAGGTGTGGGTGCAGCACAGAAAAATTATCAGCTTGTAAAGGTGCCTGAACCAATAAAAAAAAGCACTGTGCTGTAACTGAAACTAATCTCTAGATAGTCGTAAGGTGGATATAAAGCAGTGCATGAGTTTCATTTGGGAGGTGTTATTTTCTTTCACTGGTTCTTTTCTGTTTCCTCTGTGACTGATGACAAGGCAAATCTAAAATTGTCAAGAGCTGAAATGTGGAAGCAATATTACTTGCCTGTAGCTGAGCAAAGTTACTTTCTGGCTTCCAAAGGGATAGTCCTGAGAATCTCCCACAGCATTATCCTCACATCACCCTTGGGAGGATGAAATTCCACATATCCCAAATTTGCCAGATGGGACAATAGGAGCCCTGATTCATTATCTCTAATTTTAATTGTCTAAAATATGTTAGCTAATCTTAGCTATGTTCCCTCTGTAATCAGTAGAAAAAGACAGGGACTTCCAGCGCATGATTCATCCCATATATTGGTGACTTCTTTCTGAGGACAGGAATGAATCACTCGCTGCAAATACCTAAGTCTCTCTGATGATTATAGCCTAAACTAGGCTGCTAATTTTCAAATTAATAAAGTCAGGTAATATGAGTCCCACTTAGACATATATTGGTACTTTTGAGGAACTGGGTTTAAAAACTTATCGTATTTGGCAATGTGGGGTTAAAAACAAGAATGAGGTGATCTTATGCGGGAGTGGAACCTGTATGTTTTAAGTCTTAGGTCTGGCTTCATTTCCAGTGACTTCTACAGTTTATATCAGAGAAACCACTGAGTGCAGAGGCAGCAAGAGCATTTTACATGCAAAGGTTTTCAAGAGACTGATGATTGTCCGAGTCACCTGAGACTCCATCAAGACAACACCAGTAGGAATTGTATCAATAATGTTGGCATCATAGATATTTAAGTCTTCTTCAGTAACACAGGACTAATTTTTTAGACAGTTGAGAAAAATAAGCATTTTTAGCTTGATTTGATTGACCTATTTTACACATCTACTTAAAGATAAGAGGAAATCACCCTCGACTCTGCTGATGATACTCATTAGACACTGCTTTGCACAAAAAGAATAAAGTGGAACTACATTAGACTAAAGTCTATTACACAGTCTAATTCCAGCTCAGATTCTCTGTGAGTGCTGAGAAGTCACTCAGTACAAATTGTGATCCTTCAGCTTGTCTCATATGTAGTTCCTGAAAACTGAATGTCCTGGTTTCAGCTGAGATAGATAGAGTTAATTTTCTTTCTAGTAGCCAGTATAGTGCTGTGTTTTGGATTCAGTATGAGAATAATGTTGATAACACCCAGATGTTTTTAGTTGTTGCTAGGTAGTTGTAGTGCTTACACAAAGTCAAGGACTTCTCAGCTTCTCACGCCCTGCCAGGTGCACAAGAAGCTGGAGAGCACAGCCAGGACAGCTGACCCGGACTGGCCAGAGGGATATTCCCTGCCATAGAACAACATGCTCATGATAGAACTGGGGAAGCTAGCTGGGAGGAAGGATCGCTGCTTGGAAACAGACTGAGCATTGAGGTTTTTTTCCTTCCACATGTGGTGAGCAATTGTATTTGTGCATGACTTGTTTGTAATATTTATTATTGTTATTATTATCATCATCATCATCATCATCATCCTTTGTTATCCTATTAAACTGTATCTCAATCCACAAGGTTGTAGGGGTTTTTTTCCAATTCTTCTCCCCATCCCCTCGGGAGGATGTAAGCCAGGGACTTTTACCAATCTTAGTCTAGTTTTAAAATACCCCAGATAAAATATTGGGAATTAATTGTTTTTCCAAGTCTAATGTTTCATTTGAAATTATATTGAGAAAGGCTGTAAATACCAGAACAGATTTTCATTAATGTTTTTCCATCGGTAGGGAATAAAAGGTGGAAAGAGGAGCTTTGAGAAGATTAGAGTTCAAGGTTTTTAAATAATTTAACAGACAATTGAACGGTTTTTATTTCTTTGAGTAGCCTTTGCTGCAAAGAGGATTCCCAAATCATGTAATTATGTTTCTGGTAAAGAGAAAAATACTTGGAATGTCATACTGTATTTTTCAAATAGAAAATGCATGTAATAAATCATTATGGAAAAAGCCTGATTTTTGCCAGGCCTTTTGGGGGGGTTATTAGGTGTTCCAAGTGCAAAATGTGTCCAGGAGGTATTCTGGACCTGATTAAAAAGGAGGAAAAATACAACTAAAATCAAATAGGCAAGTACAAGAAGGATACCAGACATTAGGGTGATTGGAAAGTCTGCAGAAAAATAAATAAGAAGGTAAAGGAAGTAAATCGGGGGGGGGGGGGGGGGGACGCTAGATATA